TTGTGCTATTACCAATCTTTTATTTTACCTTAGATTAGGATCGCCATGAAGAGATTGAGATTTTGCCTTTGAAGGCTAAAGCCTTAACTAATTAAGCTACAGTAATAAATGTAAGCTTCAAAGCTAGAAATTAAAAATCATTAAAAAATGTTATAAGCAACTGCAACACTCCATGGCTTTGCCTGCATGTCATATTTTTTGGATCATTTTTACAGTGAAATATTTAACACCAATGAATTCTGGGCACTGAGTCATCTTCAAAGTCTGGATGACAGTGAGTAGAAATAATAATATTCAGAATGACAATTTTAGAACGACTTCTGGATTTTCAATGTTGTGGCAAAAGGATAGTTGCTGTTATTAATGCCACTGCTTTTCAATACAAACAAACAACAAGGAGGCTGGACAGCTTCAGAGTCCAAAACAGAGAAATGGGATTTTGTGTTCAGTCCCTGGGTGTAAGTGGGCTGACAAGTGCTGGATTTGCTGTGGTGTAGCTGAGAATACACACTCCTCTGAGCTGCTAAAATAACAAAGAAGATTTGGAGAGTTTGTGGTAGCATCTTGTAGTTTAGTGAATATTCAGGCATCCTTCCTGGCTGGTTTTGTTGTCGCCTTACTCTTGACAGTGCTTTTAGCACAGCCAAAACACAGTCAGAGTCCCATGTGCTCAGGTGGTGTGAACTGGAACTGCTTCTGAGACACACATTTCTTTTCTGAGGGGAGCCAGAGCTCTCCTCTTGCTGAGAAAGGTTCTCTATAAATTTATCAGGAGCATAAAAGTAGCTGAAGATGTGATGGGCCCAGTCCACCCTGGTACAATTACCTAGCTCAGCCTTGCTGGGACACAAGGCTGTGTCACAAATGTGACTTTATCAGCCCAGAAATGGGGGCACAGGGACAAGTTTGGCTCTTCCCTTCCAGGGTGAGAAGGGACATCCATCACCTCACTGCCCTGAATGTTACCTCCTGTTTTTCTGCTTCAGAAACACCTCAAACAGCAGAAAGCCTCTCCACACCACGCTGTTTAGGATGCTCACAGTGCTTCTAGGGAGTAACAGAAAAGGTTTTTGCACAAAAAGAATAATCTGCTTTGCCTTGTGGATAGGACTAAAATGAGTGGGCTAAAACCAGAAAGTTCAAACCAAGCTTCCTGAAAATCCAGGAACATGGTGAAGTGTGCAACAGATCACGCTGGGAAGCTGTTGCATCTCTGCCACTCCAGATCTGTAAGATTAGGACAGGAAAGTGTTTAAACTGTTTCTCAGCAATGATGAGGGGCTTGCCTTGGGCAGGAGCATGGGCTGACAACATCCTGAAGTTCCTTTCAGATCTGTTTTGCACAGCATTGCTGATGAAATGTAGTTCCTGTTTTGGAATGCAGGTAGATGTCTCTTCCAAAAGCCACCCATCATCTCACAGCATTTTGTTAGGGACAGAATCCTGACAAACTGATTCAGTAGATCCCACCTTGTTTCTAGCCAAACCACCCCTAAGCCTGAACTTGTGGGGTTTGTAGGGGTTCATTTTTTGGGGGGTATTTTTTGGCCAAGGGGAGGGAATGTCTCTGATACCCTGCAACAGGCTCCAGGATGCCATGGTGAGTTTAGTTATTCTAAAGGTCAGTTGAATTTCAACACCAGTCTGCAAAAATCTTTTTTTGGGCCAGGGCATGAAAAACTGAAATATGGAAAGCTGCTGATCCTGAAA